AAGGAGGGCCTTTTGCTAGCTCTTGCACAACATGAAGGTATTCCTCTTGTCTTTGCCATGAGGCGCTGCTGTCGCATACACCATCATGCTGAAGCTTTTAAAAGGCCTGGACATGCTAGCAGCTTGCTGGAGAATTCCCGTCGACGGAACGGAGCTAGGACAATGTGGCATTCATCCGTTTGTAGATGGGGTCAGGAAATGGTTCGGTCCGATTTGCGACGAACAACTCGATCATCAGCTCGGGCCTCATAGCTGAAGCAACCACAACAGGCAGATTTGAGTACGGCACACCATGATACATCATGCATTGCATCATCCTCCTGATGTTTGAGGTGGAGCACTTGCGCACGGAGACGTGGCTGGCGCCTGAGGAGGGAAGCGGAAATGTACGGCGGAACGATTCCGGGACGTGGCCTGTCGAACGATCGAAGGAATGGAGAACGATAGCCTCGGAATGCAACGGGCAAGGCAGCTCTTAAGGGTTAGGTACGGTTAGGTGTTTACAAAAACCGGTTCAGCGGTTTACTGACTGGGACATGCTTCTTTCGCACCATGAGAGTAGTTACAAAGTCCAGAGTATGGGGATCTGCCTGTGTGTGTGTGTGCGTGCGTGTGTGAATAGGTAGGTAGCGCCCGAAGGCGCGGGTAGAATGGGCAGCAATCACAATGCAATCAGTTTGGAGGCTTCCGGTCGGGCCGTCTCTGGTAGTTCGTGCCGTCTTCGCTCGGAAAACCGGCTATACTCGGGGGTTTGTTTGCTTCAATGGTGAGTCCATCGCTAGACCGACTGTTGGTCCTGGCTGCAGCACTCGAAGCTCCGACCCAAAACCGCATCTCCTGAAACATCCTGAATCTGCCAAGCCATGAACGTGGCAGTGGAAGGCTTGAGCATCACTGTCGCCGGTGGCAGGAAGCTGTTGGATGAAGTAAACTGCGTGGTTCAGGCAGGAGATATGGTGGCTTTGATGGGTCCTTCTGGCGCTGGCAAAACCACGCTGCTGAACAGCATCGTGGGGAGAACCATCACAGGACTCACTGAAGGAGGCATCTACTACGATGGGGCCACATTGTCCAAAGTCAGGCAGGCTGGCCTCACTTCGGCAAGCTTGTTTTCCAGATGTCCTTCTGACTGAGGTCCAGGTTTTTCACCTTGTGTTCAGCTCCTCTAATGAATCTAATGTGCAAGTCCTGGGAAGGAGCAGCGTGGGATACGTCACTCAGGACGATATCATGTACGAGACCCTGACACCGCGGGAGAACTTGACCTTTGCTGCCGCCTTCATCTTGCCAAAGCTCTCCAAAGAAAGCCGCCAGAAGGAGGTGGACGACAGCTTTCGTTATATGTTGATTAGTTCTGGTCAGAAAGGTGTCAAGTCAAGTCTGTACTTGAGGCGCCGGAAGTCAATCCGTTGAGGTATTGAACCGACGGCGAGAGAGCTAGCTGCACAGTTCTCGCTGTTTCTCTCCTTGTCGTTGCGATTGTGAGGTGGAGAGCGTGATCGAGAAGCTCAACCTGAAGAAGTGCGCAGACACCGTCGTGGGTTCTCCCGGCCTCGTGCGCGGAATCTCCGGAGGAGAAAGGAAGCGCACGAACGTGGCCCTGTCCCTGTTGGGAAGCCCTTCTCTACTGTTGCTGGATGAGCCTACCAGCGGCCTGGACTCCAAGATGTCGGACTCCCTCATGAGAGACGTAAAGCAGGTCACCGAGCAGGGCTGCAC